GAGAGTTTCTTTGTGATGCTGAAGTTAATTGTAATTATACTTCATACTGATATAGCTGGTATCAGTTTATTGCCTGGTAATTTATTTGCATATTGAAGAAGTCAATTTCCTCTTCAGTTTGCAACCTTGGCTCATGTAATCTATTAACCTGTGTGAATGTTTAAAATTGCTGATGAAAAAGTCATACTTTGCTCTATTTTTTCTAGAAGAACCAACAGCTCCCACTAATAGAATGAGCTATTACATTTTTGGAAAACCTATTTGGAGTGGTCAGTAGGAAACATTGGATAGCTGAACTTAGGCATTGCCTAAGTCATGTATCTATACAGACTGACTGTAATCAGTATTAACTGCAAAATCATTTAGATTAATTGGAAAGAAAAAAGAAGAGACTTCTTTCTTTTCAGACCTCCATTTCTATTGACTTTCCATTACTGACTTTGTGTATGTCTAAACACACAAGAGCATTAGAGTTGGTCTTTAAAAGGAAAAACAGATTAGAAACCAATACTTACATGTTATGTGGATGAAGCCTGGTCAGGTTGGGTGTGGTTTTAATTAAGATCTGTCTAATGTGACAAAAAAGCCCTTCCTTCTACAGAAGTCTAACAGAGGCAATCAGAAGAAAGCTGGCCCTATTCAGGTTTTTTCAGGGAAGGTGGCAGATTGCTTACAAGAATGTGAAAGGGACACAGAGAACTTTGTGGGAAAGCAAAAGTTTTAATCAGGAAGGAAAGGGTGGAGGTAGGTCACGATCAAACAAATCAATATGGTATAATCCACATTTGTGTCTTACAGCAGTATCTTTTCTGAAGAGCCTGTGTAATTTCAAAGGATGAAGAGACAAAGGGAAAGGAGCTGGGTAATAGGAGACTATCTTATTCAAAAAGCTTTTTAAAAAGTATTGATGTGCTCTCCTTCCCTTTAAATAGAGATAGATGTTGATGGTGACTGCTCTTGAGAAACTGCGTGTCTCATTGGCCCTTCTTTGAGAGGTCTAAAGGTATATGAAAAGAGCCAATGCTCTGGTGGCTACTAAGTCTTTTGGTTAACGAAATACATATTCAAACATGGACACAGTTTTGCTATTGAATCAATCACAGAATCATTTACTGAAAACAGGTAAAAGCAGCTAGAGTAAAAATGTTCCAGAATTGCAGGTGTTCCAGCTATTCCAGATGTTTGAAGACCCTTGTAAGGTTCATTCATTACCTGCTGACTATGGCAGCCTTGCCAGGTAACATTGCCAAGGATGCAGATGTGGCTTAACTTCTGCATCCTCCAGCAGTAAAACAAACCTGCTCCCACAAGTACAGATGAAGTGTAACTATTTCCAGTAATCATTGTTTCTATGTTTCTATGGTTACTGGAAAGAGAAAAATCTCTGGTTTTGCTTCATGAAATTATTACAAAAAAAAAAAAAAAAAAAAAAAAAAGAGCATTCTCCAAAATCTTGCAAGGTTAACATTAAAAAATAAACAAAAAATAAACAGACAAAGTAGCCATCCATATGTCTCATCTTTTTATACACTTTCCTATCCCCTCTGACCTGCACAAATCCCACCAGTTTCACAATAAGGCTACTTTTCAGAAATAATCCCAAAGGGTGAAGGATGCAGAGATCAGACTCCTCTGTGTGAGGTTCTGGAGAGACTGCAGGCATGGCTCATTCAAAAAAGAAATAAAAAAATATTGATTCCATGGACTAAAGAGCTCAGCATTTATATAACTACAGCTAAAGCATATGAGGCAGAAGTCAGCAGTAACCTCCTGCTCCATTTTCACAATAAGTCACCCTACCAGGACCAATATTTGTTGAACCTGTCAACTACAAGTAGGCTTAGTGTGCAATATTTAATGAAACCTCCACTGAAATGTGTGGTTGCGCCTAAGTGTTTTGGTTTCTAAGTTTTCAAGCCCAGATGATTGATACCTATGTCAAAAAAGAAAGGGTGGTGGTGGCTCCTTTGTTAGTAAGTGGTTCTTGAAATTCATGGAAGATTGTTTTATGGTACAGTGTCTCCATTAGATAAATGGCAATTTTCTGTAACTGCACCTGAATGGTTACTGCTCCTGCTCTGAAGAGTCTTAGGAAGGACACAGTATAATATTGGTCTAACTGAACTGTAAAGACATGAGGTTCATCTGGGTGTGTTTCAGTGCTTTGCAAAAGGTGTACAAAGGAATAAACACAGGTCCAAATGCGACTCCTGGTGTTTTTATGGCTCCAATGTTGCTATACAGAAATCTTCACCATCTCTGTAAAAGTGAACCAAATATTTGATGAGACCTTTCCTACAGATCTCTTCACACTGTTTTCTGCAGTATGCTGGAAAAAAGTACTTGACTGAAATTACCCAGATGTGATATTGTTCTTGTTACTATTTATACCAGAGTAGCATGAAAGTGCCTGAGAGAAATGAAACTATGAAGACAGGAAAGGAACTGCTTGAAGAATTTGCAATACAGACAACACGCAAAAGGCAGAAAAGAAAATTAAAACAAAGAGTTTTGAAATGACTTGCCTACATTCCCAGGAGTCAGGTATCCCACTGGTACGTATGTCTGTTCTGTTATACCTACTTTGTTAGGACCTTGGCCTTTCTGGCTTGTTGATGTCAACCATTTTATTTTGCTTCTTGTTCACACAGACACTGCATAAAACATCCCAGGAACAGGGTTATGCATATTTTACCCCAGTATATATTCCATCTTGAGAAATGCAGTTTTTGAAACCAGAAGGCAGTTTTGCTAGCATCAGATACCAGTTGCCTACTCATCAGGATGCCAGCAGGGTGACCATAGTGAGGTGTGGGAATACTTCGTTTCTTCTTCAACTGCCTTCTCGAGTCTGCTGATCTCAGTCTGGCTTCAGGCATCTGAGCCAAAATAGACTTCCACAGTGCTTCAAATCACAGCAAGTAGCATGCAAAGAAATTACAAAGCTGCCTTTTATTTCCCCAAGTGCTCATATCCTATTGTTTCTTCACAGACTATATTTTGTAAAAAGGAAGTTGTTAAATTCTTTTCCATATTATTTGCGAGGACTGCCACTGCTTATGTGATGGCAACTTCAGAATTGATACCTGGTGGTAGTTTTCCTTCAGCTGTGTCATGTGTCACTAAGAAACTAAGCTGGAATTTCAGAAGACTAGCAAAGAAATACACTCTTTCAACATATCTCTGCCATATACATTGTGAGCACCTTAATTTTTGCTTGAATGATGAAAACAGGGAGACCTGTAAAACAACAATCTATTTGTAATGAGATTCTTCACATGGCATCCTTATATATGGTCTCAACTGAGATATGGAAGGGGCCTTCCAGTGCCAGAATGATAAATACCATTTTTAGGGACAATATGAGGAGAAATATCAGCCCTGTGTGAGCAGCAGAATGTGACAATGCCATGCAATGACACACACCCAGGCTGGGAAGTTTTGTCATCCAAAGTTGATCTGAAAGCACATGGGGAATGACAGAAGGCAGGTGGAGTGTGAAATGCTGATTTGGTTTGGAGACCAGGGAAGGTTCTGAGCTCTGGCTAAAGATGGGTGAGTCCTGGCAGGAGGCTGTTGCAAGAGGCCTGATGTGGGACTGAGGTTTTGCCAGAGGACACTAAAGCTCGCCTTCTTGAGAGCCTGAGGACATGCTGGGAGCCTGCAGGGCACCTGCTATGGCATGATATTGCATCAGTGTGCTCTGAAGAAGCAGCTCTCAGTTCATATTGTGTAAATCACATCAGAATCAGGGTGATTTATTCAATTAGCAACACCTAATTAATCAGCAATCTGCGAACTATACATTCAGGCTCAATATCAGCAATACAGCAGATAAACCACAATACTAGGCACTAGACACAAATGCCAACAAACACCAAGAAATGCCTAAGCACTCTTCTAATCCCCAAACTCCTTCACCCACACAGACACATATACACAAAATTTTAGCATGGACTACACACAACATGTCCCTGGGAATGCCTGTTTGTGCAGCCTGTGCAGGTCCCCCTGCGTGGCAGCATGACCACTGGTCCATGGTGTCACCTGAAGCTGATGGACGAACATCCTTCCAGCAGCATCCATGCCCAGGGTCACACACTGAGTGGATGTGGGGTTGGGTTTGTGCTGATCCTGCTGTGGTGGGTGATGAGTCCCAGAGCAGACTAAGGCAAAAGAGGCAGTAGGAGTCATGACACACTCATACTTGCCAGGTTCTATCCTGCTGTATGTATCCTTAACCTTCCTTCACTATTCACTGTGTGAAGGAAGCCCTAAGGCAACAGTCTTTGAAGGACTTAGGTCTTCCTATAATGATTATCCAGTCACATACTGAGCTTCAGTCCCTCCCTCCTGACCAGCTTTGTCGCCTCATGAAATCTTGGAAGAGCCTTTCCTAGTCGAATGGCTACCACCCTTGCCCTGCCTTCAGCTGCCCTATGTCTCACATGCTTCTTGTTGCCCGGCTACTCCATTGCCCCCATGGATCACCCAGCTGCCCACCCAGCCATGCTGGCAGCTGAAGGTATCTCCCACAGGTCCCTCTGTGACAAGGTCTGTCTGCTCCTTGTCTCTGCCCAGCATCTGGCTTATTTCAAAGCTGATTTTCAAACACCTTGTTCTCTACTCTTACCATACCTCTAGATAAGACTAGGGTGGGCTTTTATCTCATGGTCTGGAGCACAGCCACCTTCTAAGCCTGCAAAGTATCTAGGGCACTGTTTAATCTCCTGCTCTTCCTTAGCCATCAGATCTGACTTCACGAAGACCACAGGCTCCCTTCATGTGCCTTCCTATCTTGGCTAGTTTTGGCTAGTTTTACCCTCTTGTTTTGGAAATCACCAGAGCACCTCTGCAACCACGGTTTCCTCTTGTGAAAGCAGAGCGATAATATGTACAGATCTTGAAAAACAAAAATATCCTTACTCCTTGCATCCAATTGCTCCTAGATCATTCTCGTAAATGTCTCTGTGAAGGCTAACCTTGATTTTCATTCAGAATCATGATGCTCTGCTGCACAAACGCTCTGGTATGGCTGCTATGATGATAGGCACCTTGCCAAAGATGGTGGACATGGCACATGGAAGGTTAGAGGTTCCTACCAGCTCATAATTGAATGTCATGATGTTATTTCATCTCACGGCATTGGTGACAGGCAATGGTTTTGGCAGAACCAGTGCACTAGTGACTCCCATGTTATCAAAGAGGGCAGTGCCTGGCCAGCACTCCAACCTTGTCACTTCATTTTGATCTTCCAAGGAATACTGACCTCCACTGTTACTTAATCTCCTGTACAGAACAATGCAGCATACAGCAAAAACTACCTTTCTAATGTAATTGCATGTCCTGTTGGCAATATCTGTTGTGAAGACACTAGTTGCACCAGGGAAAAATACATTTTTCTTCAGGGAGATGCAAAGGATCACAGAGCCTTGGATGAAGCAGCAGAGGTAATCGACATCAGTCCTAGCTTCTACCATCAAGAGAACCGGCATGGGGAGAATGAGTGGAAAGGCAAAGCACAGTGAACTATTGCTGCTGGACAGATGGTGTTCCCCAAAAACAGCATGTCCAAACTTGTGAAGGAACATCTGAAGCTGCTCATACCTCCACCAGGCCCTGCCTTTAACCCAGACGGCAGTCTTCCTCACTACACCACAAGTGGCATGGCTGAATTATCACAGTGTTCTTGAGCATCTGTTGAAAGAATGCACCCATGCACATGTACACATTTTCACCTGTATTTAACATCCAAATTTAGAGAAAAGCAAAAAATATATATTTGGAATAACCGTGTTTTACTTGTTCTACTTGTCCTGATGACTGATCATCCCTGTTTAGGTAGACTTTGGTTTAAATAAATAAATAAATAAATAGGGCATCCTATTTCATGAAGATTGCCCAAAACTTAGACTTTAAAGCAAGAATTTCTATTCTGGATCTCATAGAGCTCCTTGCATATCGTTCATTCTTGAGTTCTTACAATGCTCTTTGTACACTGTATGTAAAAAACATCTCTGTATATGGGCCTAAGCCCCAGGACAACAATAGCAAAACATATTAAAGGTGTAGTTTTAATGTTAAAAGAAGAAAAACTGAGTGCTGAAAGTTAGTGAACACTCAGTAGTGGGCATGTAAAGCACAGGATCAGAACAGTCCCCAGTTCAGATAGATGGTTCCCCTTATCTTATCTTTTGCACGTCCCGTGTGCTCACCACTGATTACTTGCAAGAGTAAATATCTCAACTCTTCAGCTAAGACAGTACTGTGTCTGCAGCAAATCCCTTGCATGAAATAGGAGATGCAGCCAGCTTTGCTGGTGAATGTGGAGGGAACCTCTGGAGGAAAGCTGAAGTGGAAATCAAAGGTGTGGATCCCAGAATCCAGGCAGCTGTCTGAAAACCAAGCAATATGCTCTAGTCAGAAACCTCTTAAACATTTAAGATGTTTGTACCTTCCAGAAACCTTGACATTTCTTCCAGAAATCAAGGTGATGTTACCTTACCTCACCTTACCAGCTGGTATTTCACACAAAATTTTATGAGTGAACTGCGCGCTGCCTCTGCAGGTTAGCTGCTGGATGTTTGGGCAAAGCAGACTTGAGAACTGCTCATCTGCTCATCCTGACTCACAGTCATGAACCTGCAACTTCTAGCTAATCGTTTAGAATCAAAATAGACTAACATGGACTCTTAACTGCAGAAAGCAGTAATAGTCTTCTGGAGAGTGAAATTATGTCTTAACTCCCATTTTTCTTCTATTTTTGTCTGCAGCACATGGGAATGTGATCTGAACCTTGTGTTTCACCTTTGTGAAAGACTCACTCACAATAGAAATAATATTGGACACCTTCCTTGCCCAATTTTGAGACAGGAATATTACAATCCATTCCTTCTAAAATCTTTGCATCTGTGCCACTCCATCTTAATGAAATTCAGCTTTGTATAGGTCCTGCTGACTTTAAGACATGACTATCCCACCTATGTAAGCATATGTTTAGCCTCTTTTGACCTGATAAGAGCAGCTCTTGACTCTGCTTATCCAAAACTTCATTTCAACATGCATAAGTGCTGTCAGTTTTATTGTCCATATGAACACTTTTGTTCTTCCTAACAGCTTGTGCCAAAATTTCACTTTGAACAGTAGTAGTAGGGAATCAGAGACTGCTAGAGTTTTGTCCTATTTCTGCATCTTTTTGCAATGAATTCAACAGTGTCTTATGTTTTAATAGTCTAAACTGGATATTTTTGCTGGCAAAAGAGTCTGGGTAGTGTTTCCGAATGGGAGGGGTTTTTTTTTGCCACATGGCATAACAGCTCTTTCAATCGATCAGTTGTAACTCAAAAGGAAAAAAAATGCCTAAAGAACAATTTGAAATGGAGGAAACTGAAATTCAACTTCTTAGATAGATGCAATATAACAAATTCCTGATAGTTTGTAGGAAACTGATATTCCAATATCTCTGAATTCCCCTGGGAAGTAAAAGTATGCTCCCCTTCCCCTAGCTACCCATGTCTGGTAGACATGAACCCCATTGCACAGGAGAAACCATCCATGTGGGCTCCAAAGCTTATTCCCCTGAAACCACGTGAGTGTTACAACTTTCCTGACAGCTGTAGAGATGGGAAGGACTCCCAAGAGCCAACTCCTGGGGGCACCCAGAGACATTATGCATCTTGGTCTTCAGCAAAACTTGGAAATTTCAGTCACACTGTGACTGTGTTTACTGGCGAAAAGACAATGGCTGTGGCTGTGGGCTAAGTGTGAGTGTGCTACTGGTATGAATGACCAGAGGGACACTTTCCTATGAAGGGCAGAAGAGATTTCCTGAGGTGAGACCATGTAAAGCTTTGCTTAAAGAGCTTCAAACTGTTTGCTGAGCTCCTGGCTCCTGTTTGCTCTCACTCAGGGATTCTGTTGGTGCTGAGCCTTGGTAGCACCAAAACGCCGTTTTCTTTTCTGGATCTAATTATCCTAGCAGTGTTACCAGTCAGATTTGACAGTCACCAGTAGTCAGTTCTTAAGCAGTCATTATCTCACAATGAGACTATACTGAGTTCCAGGAAATGGTGATGAGGTTTACCAAGGTTAAAAGGAAATATGTCAGTATGCACCAGAAGCCATGTACATGCAATTCTTACACAGACATCAGCTGTGACCCAAGGTGGATATGTGGTAAGATCAAATACCAGGCAGTAACATGCTATGAAGACCATATTAGCAGCTGAGTGTCAAAAGCTGACACAGGCAGGGATCTGTTCAAACATACATTCCTTCTATGCCAACATCAGTGGGGAGCACAGAGTATTCAGGGTAAGAAGAGTCAGGTCTGTATCTTCTTTCATGTTTTCAAATGGCTTCCTTGGACTTGTTAGAGCACTTCTGTAGAGATGCAATCAGTGCTGGGAAAAGGAGCAGAAAGACTCAGCTACAGTAGGAATAATCTGTTATTAAACTGCACTGCTTTGGCAAAGTATGGTGGATGTGAGTGCTCAGCTCTTCTGATATAAGGAACATGAATACAGGTGACAAAATGTGGATTTAAGAGTATATTTAAGTAACCCTTATTTCAACTTCAGCTGAGGAAATACAGAACTGAGACGCATTACAGGTACTTGTTCTTCTAATAGCAAAAATGATTTTTCCTACACTTAGTCACTTTCTGTCTTTCCTGTAAGGGCTGTAACATCTGGTAGCCCATAGCAAGAGCCAGCATACTGCAGGTCAAGGCTAAGAGTCAAAGGCACGTGTAAGGGGAAAATGATCTCTAGTGTGAAGTAGAGCCTTCAGGTCTGAAAGGAAATGAAGCCTGATCACTGCAGGTCATAGCTCAAATAAACAGCTTCAGAGCAGTCTAACTTCATTTCTAAACTATTCCAGTGCAATGAACTTTTAGCCAATTATCTGTTGACTAAATCCTCAGGACTCCCAATAGACCTGAAGAGAGGCTGAGAAGAGGAAACGCTCCTCCTAGGAGGCTTCCATTTACTGTAGATATCTCCTGAAATAAGACACTTGTCTGCAAAGAAGACTGTCTTTGGTGGTCATTACATCCCACTGACTTAACTCTATTTAATAAACATGTAATGTTTAATCATTAGCTCTGCATTTACACGTGTGCATGTTAGAGTGTATGACACCTAAGGGGTGCCCTGCTGCGGGCGTGCCTCTTGGAGCAGGAGAGCTGGACAAGACCTCCAGAGGTCTCTTCCAACCTAAGTCATTCTGTGTTTCACACTTGTGCAGTGTTTTCAGTGTATGTCTGTTTGTTTCTTGCTTCTCAGTAAGGATACAGCAATAACACTAAAAGTGCCTTCCCTACAGTTGCAAATATAACACTTTTATACTCAATTTAAATATTGTGGCACGTGAAAAGTAAGCATTTCAGATGAGCAAAGAGTGCTTCAGTGACGTCCTTGTGACTAAAGATTTCATACCTGCAGCTAGACAGCGTGCAATGGCTGTCTGTGCAACAAATGTTCACAGCTACCAGAAGTGTGCTGAGGGCACTTCTGATACTCTCAGATGCTACTTTCCATACTAGAATATTTTTATTCATTTCTAAGCACCAGTAGCCGTATGACATAGTGAAAAGGAGAATGCCATGGGATAGAAGCAAAAAGTATTGGTGATACAGTAGATAAATTGTAATTCAAGATTGATATTGCAAACATAAGTGGTGGCCAGAGGACTGCAGCAATTGCTAGTGAGATCTGAATACAGCAGAACAGGTGAGCAGCCACTACACCATCCTTCTGAGCAGTTTGGCTGAGGCAACTCTTGTTCACCTAAACAGGATGCTTGGCAAGTTCTTATTGTAGTGTGGGAGCCCTTGCTGAGTATGGCTAAAGGCAAGGGACTGAGGTGAATCTCAATCCTGAAAATCTCTTTGTCACATGAGAGTAATTCCAGGCAACTGGAGCTGCTGCCAACACATTCCCTGCAAAAACATCATCAACAAAAAATAACAACAATAACAACAACATAAAACAGTGTCTGGCTCACTAGTGTAGTCCTCAGGTTCTGTTGGACACTTGGAACAAATGAGTGCAGAATGCTCCGGTCTGCATTGATTTGGGAAGGGAAAAAAAGAATGCAGGGAGAATGGAGGGTTCTTCAGCCAGGGGAGCAGGGATGAACACAACCAGAGCAAGTGGCGGGGATCACTTCCACTGCTGATGCCAACAGACAGATGTCTGAGCCACCAACAAGCTGTGAGCCAAGAGAAAGCATTGGCACCTGCTCCGCAGAACCTGATTCCAGGGGCAGTGTTCTCAGCTGCAAGCTGAGGATCTGGGCACACAATGAGAAATACTGAGTATTAGCTGGTCAAGACAGCAAACAGTTTAGGAAACAAGGCACAGCAGAACTTTGAACTTTAATCCTATTCTCCTACATGCCAACCACTCACTTGCTCCAGTGCAGTCAGGATTCTCCTTCATAGTCCCTGTCCCTCACTCCTGCAGTGTTTTCATTTTTGTTGTTGTTGCTTTCCTGTTTTTCCTTTTTTGAAGGAAAAAGTATTGATGACTGCAGACTGTTGTTCTCAGTTCTTGGCTGCTGCATCTTGTTCTGTGAGTTTCTCCTTGTGTTGCTCTGTTAAAAAATAAACTCTTTGGGAGAGGAATTGTTCAGTATCCTGGGTTGTAGTGAGAAGGAACAGCTTTTCAATGGGTTACAGAATTACCAATAACATAAATATCCTTTTTTCTTGCTAACACTTGGTAATTTTCAGCAGTCACGCATCATGAACAACCTGCATGGTTATAGGTAGAAAAAATAACTTACAGCTACTTGCATGAGTCAAGATATATCATCAAGTAAAAAATTGTTATCCATGATAATTTATGAATCAAATGCTAAACTTCCACGATTTTGTGCTCAGGCACTGATTTATGCATTACAAAAATAGCTTATAGCTATGATCTCCATACTACCATTATACCAAACCAATATTTCATCTCAATCTGTATATCCCCTGAGAATTTTAAATACAATCTGAACCTGCTATCAGTCAGTAAAGGAGGAAGAATTGCTTTTAACTCATAATTTGTTCTCCTTCCTTAACTCTATTTTCTGTCTTGAAGACCAGCTAAAAGTTGTGTAAATGTTGTTTCTTCACATCGAATGACCTCTCTACAAAATGATCTTTAAATTCCCTTTCCAGAAGAACAGCATAGCTCTTTTAACAAAAGCACCTTTAACAAATGCAAACTTCAACAGGTACAATAGAGAACATTATATTCTCTCAGCTTATGTTGATGCGTGGTGTCATTGATTTTGAGCTTTCAACTGGTATCAGCCAAAATAGAACCTTTTGTCTGAATCTGCTGCACTTCAGAAATCACAAATGGAAAGGAAAAATATATCAGTGCCTCAATACATTTAATTTTTTCAAACTGAAGCCACAGCTCCCTTTCATTCATTTAACAAACTTTCTGCAGGCCCATTATCCTTCATATGTTTATACAGACTTCAGGGAGAGCTGTGTCATTATTTCCTCCTGGTTTTGTTTCTCTGAGACTCACATGGACATAGCCATAAGTTTGAGCTACCTCCTAATTTTATGGAAGACCAAGTCCTTGAGCTTTTAGTGCTGTATTTGTGAACCTAATGAGGTTGTGCTTGCGTCAAGGCAATTCCAGATATGTATATAGACTGGGAGAAATCACTGATAAGGAGTTGCATTTCTCACATAAAGGATAGTTGAGAGCACTGGGCTTATTTAGCCAGGAAAAGAGAAGGCTCCAGGGAGACCTCATTGTAGCCTTCCAGTACTTACAGAGAGCTTATAAATAGGAGACCTATTTTTTGCACAGTCTGATAGTAATAGGACAACAGGAAATGGTTTTAAACTATGAGGACTGTTCTGAAAATAATGCCTCCTATTTTATTATATCATTGAACACCACCAGAGGCAGATGCTGGTGGTATGGAAGTAGAGGTTGAACCTTCCCACCACTATTCATTCCATGTTGTTGCCGTATGACAGATGGCAGCAGAGGGGCAGTCTGACAGAATGGAGTTTGACATGGAAGTGCAGATGAAATAAAGGTGTGTCAGTGAATACTCCACGTGGAAAAAAATGGCACTCACTGACATTCATCAACACTTCCTGAATGTTTACAGAGACCTACTTGTGGATGTGAGCACAGTGAGGCAGTGGGTGGTGTGTTCCTGTAGTGGAGACAGCAATGTGAAATACAAAACGTTCATCTCTGACCAAAATACACAGCTAATGGTCGTGACTGAAGAATAGAGTTTTGTAGATGAGAATTTTCTCTATCAAATAGTGTTATTGTATCTGGTTTAGTTTCCGTGGGAATGAATAGAAGGCATTACTTTCGGAATTATATACATAAAAAAGGGGAGATTTTGATTGTACATTAGGAGGAAGTATTTTACTCAGAGTGGTGAGGCACTGGCACAGGCTGCACAAAAACGTGGATGCCCCATCTCTGAAGGGACATTCCTGGCCCACTGTCACTCTGGTTCCCCAGAGATCCTGAGGCC